GGAATGAAAGAAGGTATATTATTTATAACATAATTTTCATATAAGATTATAATTGTGTATTAATTTTGAGAAGAGGATGCCCTAAGTTTTACTGTTTACTAGGAAGAAATACATTATTCTGTTATGTGAGGGCTTATGACTGGCTTGTTAATCTCACACAAAGAGAAAGTATGAAGCAGCCTGGTGAGAGTGTGCTGTGTTAAAACAGGTAGCTGTGTTGTAATTGTTGGACCATGCTAAAGTGCCGGAACAAACGTCAGACTCTGATTAAGAATAGCATTTCCCTCCTCAGCTTTTTCTTAATTTAAGCAAAAGAAACTGAAACAAATGTTGTCCTTATAACAGTGATTGAATCAAACTATCTAGCTGAGGAATTCAGTTTTACTGCTGAAGTTTCAGTTTGTTTGTTATTATGCAGAACAACGAATTTTGCATCTGCACTGGTGGGTGTATTACCTGTGTGATGCTGATCACACAAGCCAGTTAAAATTTTCCAGTCCACAACTAAATCTCAAATGTTTTGCTTTATGACTTACCTTCATTTCTGTTCTTCAAAACTATTGTAAAATAGCAAAACGTATCAATCAATATTTTCTTACCTAAGTGAGTGAAATGATGGCTTATTTACTGACGAGCAAGCACAGCCAAGAAGGACAGAAGTGACTTCTGTTTTTTTGTGTGAATTGCCAGTAGAAGTGTCCACCAAAAGTGAATCCACTTGGTTGGGTTGGGTTAGATATGCTTGTGCAAGCTAACACTGTTTAACAGGTCTGTTTGCTGAAACTTGCCGACAGGGCCATCGTTCTAACAGTGGCCTTCTCACCTGTGAATCGAGCATACTTCCGGAGGGAATCAGTGAACATACACCCTCACGTGCTCATTTTACACTGCCTTTTTCCAGGAGGGCTGCATTTTAAACTCCAACTCATATGAAAGGTGAAAGCTCTTTAATTGCTGAGTATGTTCTAGAAACGGCCTTGTTGTTAGGAACTGATGGTCTTAAAATTAACATGTGTATGTACTCCAAGGTGTTCTTCATGATATTCCTTTTACTTTTTAACGTAGGAAGATGGCATCAAAGAAATGCACATTGAAGGGGCTGATTTTCATTCTTAGTTAAGGCCTTTTACAGCATCCAAGCAAGGGAAAGGGTTCTCTGAGCGCATGTAAATTACACTCACGCTCATTTAAAGCCTGCGTAAATGCAAATCACACCCTACATATGAGGGTATCAGCATTAAAATTTTATTTTCATTCATACAACTGCTTTTATTGGCATATGTCTTCACACTCAGGCACAGTTAGGTGCTTCGTTTAAGTGATGATGAAATACAGTGCTTGTTCTCTGATTGCATACCATTTTTTCTTTCCAGCGCATGATTGCCAACACTGTCAGGACGGTGAAATTCTGCCGAAGCCAATCTTTCAGTAAGTGTATTGCAACATCTGCACAGTCAGCATTACCATCAGTTGCTACAGTAATTACAACTAATTCTGTGTGTACCAGAATTCAAAAGCCTGGTTTCCAGTGATTCTTCTATGTTTGGATCCTCCAATGTTTCACAGGGTGAAATATCTTTCAGGAAGCTCTAATAAGCCCCATCTCCTCCATCTCTTTTCCAAGCATGTGAAGGGGCTAAATATCTGTGAGGTCTCTACACATCTGTCAAATTAGAATTGGTTGAAATTAGCCACTGGGTTCAGAAGTGGTTGAAATAAGGCTAACAGACAGCAGCACACAGATACATGCAAGATACTTGCTTGGATAAACCCTGTTTTTATAGGAAACCAGGCCGGAAACATGACGTTTATAAATGACATAACCGAATCAGGTGATGAACTTAAAACCTGTTTGTCAGTATAATTACCAGAACTTACTTGAGGCCATGTAAGATGACGCAGCTGTGTGATCCAACAGGCTTGCTCTGTGGGTCTCATCCCATCTAGATGCGGTCAGTCCCAGTCACACTAGCATTTCTTCAGCGCTTCATTCATTTTGCCTCACAGCAGCCTTCCTCTTTCTCAAACAACAGAATAAATAATATAAAACAATGTATTTTTATAAAAGCAGTTTCTTCCCATTCGGGTCAAAGCTTAACTCTAGAAGATCAAGTTAAGTGAGCTTTTTTTTTCCTTCCACCATCAAGTTTTTTTCTGGCTGTGTATCTTTTAATTTTAATGTATTAAGCACTAGTGAAACCTGCACGTATTCAGAAATGGAAGGGGATTTTCACTATACGTGATGTAACAAAATGTCAGTATATAGATGTACTGTATCTAAGTCCCATGCTTTTTGTGTATATACAGTAGATGTTTCAGTACCATTCTTTTCAAGAAGTTTAAGTTACCTAATGCATATTGCATTAAAATGTAAGCTGCCCACTGTGAGGCTGAAGATACTCAGATTTTAACCCAGTGGTATTTCATAATTGTTGTTGGAGTAGGTATAATGCAGTTATGTTAAGTAATGTAAACAAGTAGTAAATTTTGAGGCTTGAATCGGGCAGCCACTAATCACTACAGTGTTACAAATATTTAATACTGAGCTAGAAATGGGACTATTTCATGAAAGGAGGCTTAAATCAATTGTATAGTTTTGAATCTGTGTGAAAGCTTCTGGTTCAAAAGCTGATGGGCAGCTTTAAATCATACTAGTTAGCTATATAATTTACAGCCATTGACTGGTAAGGTGATGTATAAAACTGTAACCAAGGGCCATCAATTTGAGCAAATGTAGCCAAGGATATCTGAGAGAAAAAGTTAATTTGTGAGGTTAGTAACCAGAAAGACTATCAGACATAGAGGAAAGGTTTCAGAGTGAGCAATTTCTAAATATTTTCTTTTTAACTCACCAGGATCTGGCGTTTTCTGTGACAGCTTGTAAAGAGTTATGCATTCTGTTCAGGCATTTGTTCATTTAAGTGTATCAATCCTACATCGTTTCTCTTTCACCAGATCCCGACGCAGCCCTAACTAATAAGAACCATCAGGACGTTCGGAGCTATGTGCGGCAATTAAATGTGATTGACAACCAGAGAACTTTATCACAGATGTCTCACCGACTAGAACCGCGTCGAGCATAAACATTTGAAGCAATGATGAGAAATGATCTTTTATCCTGTCAAGGTCACTTGTTAAGAACTTCACTTTCTCTGCTACCGCACTGCCACTACAAAAATAAGCAAAAACATATTCTAAGGTCTTAGGCAACGCACAATGTACCAGCCTGTCAAAGAACTTTGGCTGGGGAAGAATTTATGCACTGTAGCTGTATGGGTGGCCATGTTGTGAACTGTTAATTCATCTTAAAGTGTAGTAAATGATTTCTCATATGGATAAAAAAAGCCAAAAGATAAAATAGAATAGTTGGTGAAAAATGCACAAAAAGCTTCTAACAATTCTAAGGGAGGTAGTGTTTTTCTCTCTCATTAAAAATCTGTATTTTATGATTTATTCCCCAGGTCAGGACCAAAACTGATCATCAGTTTAGCTTGCCCAGCTACTGTTGACCTCAGCAGAAGATGTATGTAAGCATCTGATGAAAAAATGTAGGTTCAAGAGAGGTCCAAGGTATAGTTCCATTCAGAGAAAGCTTACAAATATTTCCATTTGAAATACAACAGATACTAAGGAAAATTTCTACTCTTAATCGTACTGCCTACTACTGCAAGCAGTGTGGCCATTTCAGAAAACTGACAGGACTGAAAATATTTTTAATGATAAATGTATTAATCTGTGTTTACATTTTACTCCTTTTTTTAAACTACCAATCAGGTTTTTACAAAATTCCGTTACGATAGTAAGGTTGTTGAAATCAATAGCATAAAGGTAGCAAAGGACTGGTTCAAAAAGAGCACAATATGCACAAACGGATTTCAAGAGAGTAATTTCCTGGACATTAAAACCTTAAACTTCAGCTATAATTAATTGTGGCTGGTTAACACATATTTTCTGGTCTTAAGCATTTACAAATATCTTAATTTTCAGCCAATTATTTTGCACTTTCAATAGACTGTAAATAAATGTTAATTCATTATGTTCTGGAATATTTATTTACATAATAGCTATTGTGCCAAAATAATTGTTTTATTTATTTTGTTTAGCATGTAATGGAAGTGCAGCTTTTGTCTTTATACTTTGTGTGCATTTTATGTGTAGGAATTGTGTGATGTACGTTTTCTGTAAATAACACGCACTACCTTATTAAATGTAATTGCTGGAAAGGTTTAGTCGCTGGCCTTATTTGCACTTTCAGCTTCATTCCTGCATAAATAGTGATGCTATCAATTGGCTGATACAGCAAACTTTGCTTGTCGTTTGCTGAGCCTCAAACCCGCAGTTAGCCTCCATCCGTTGTGATATGGATGACCAATGTAAAGCCAGTCAGATCCATCCCTGCCGTAGGGGATGGCAGTCTTGCAGTGATGTAACGCTATGGTTTTATTAGCTGGTTTGTTTAGAGTTTCTAAGGAGGCTCCCTACTCTCCCGTGTAAAGACAGAAAACATTTAAATTGGAAAGGTTTAAATGAAGAAGGGATGTATGCTTCATTTTAGCTATCTGACTAATTTGTCCTGCTCGGTCTCTAATGTGAACGCTACAAGTGACTTTATCTTGGACAGGATTTTACCTCGGGTCGGCTAACTCCAGTTGAGACCTGGGCTAATGTGGCACTCGAGAGGCCTCTGGCTTCGGTCGCCTCAGGGAGGTCTATCAGGTCGTGCAGCCGTGAGGGAGGAGCTGACCTGGTCTGTTCCCCTTCCCCTCCAAGATCACTTGCGCTAGCCTGAACACTCCACGTGCCGCCTGTACTCCTGCTGGGCAGCGCTGACGCTGGCCAAGTGTGTGCCGAGGGAACGATGATGTTCAAATGGCAAAGGCTTTCCTATTGCATTCACATTGGCTCTGCTCTGCGAAGCAGGATGTCATAAAACTGATTAAGCCTGAAATTACAAGTTGCAACTATTATCTCATAATTAAGCTTCAGAGATGACCTCATTGATATAGTCTACGTTTTGCCTCAGATACAGAGTATACTTGGCATGGAGCAGGACTGTGTGGAGTCAATATATGTATAAAGATATTTTTTTTTTATCTGTAAAAATAATTGCATCCTTTTAGTCAAAACATAAATTCTGCAAAAGCTTGAGAGTCACCAGGGAAAAGCTGACACATAGAACCACTGTCTGCTCAGTACCTGCATTCTGCAAAGGAAAGAATTACACAGTTAAGAAATATGCTGCAGCATGATGAAATAATTTATTTTAACTTTGCTGTCTGACTAGAAGTTCAAGATGATTCAGAGGAAAACCAGCTAATAACAAAGAGACAAATTTGTGTCTTATTATTTCAAGTGAGAAATATTTCTTATTTCCATTTGTACTGCGCTATGAATATACTTCCTATGGCTTTTTCAGATACAGAATCTTCCCAGAAGCAAAGTATGCAGTAGAATAAACTGCAGGGACACAATTAATTCAAAAGACATTTTTATCTTTACAATCAACTTATAACATTTGTGAGTTTGTGATTTTATTTGTTCCAGATTTGTTCCTATTGTTTGGACTTCCATTTATTTCTGTATTAACTGGTTTATAAAGCTGCCAAGTTTCAGCTTGGCTCTGCACCTAGACTGATCCTTCATCCGTTTAGTATGTTTTTATCCCCTTGGTTTATTCTTTTACTCCTTAGAACCTCTAACTGTTTTACTTATTTGTTGCCAAACAACCTCTGTCATGTAGATAAATCCTGGTGATACAAATAGAGGTTTTATGGCACCTCCATATCAACAAATGAATGCAGTTTACCTACTCAGTGAAACTGGTATCTGGCATTTTTTAATTTTCCAATAAAGGGTGCTGTATAAATAACAAGTGTTGCTATCTCTGTATCTAACTCATTCAAGTGGCTCAGATAGTTGCTATGGTGCTGATCACAGTCTACATACCTAGAGATTAAATGAATAGAACTACCTTCTGGCTCTGGGATCCATACTGGGCTGCTCTCGCTCCCTGTGTTGACTTTCCAGCAGGAAGGCGGCTGTCAATATATTGCTCTTGCTGTATGAAGTCTAAGCAGCTGTCGCAATAGCGTGAAGAATGAAGAGGAACTCGGGAAACATTGAAAAGTCAAAACGCCCATACCGTCTTCACCCTGTGCTTGCAGCTTTGAGTCACAACTTGATCCTGCTTCCGTGAAGAGACGCCTCTTGTCTGCTGACTCTCGGGGCCGGTCAGTAAGCCCGGGCTACGATGCTGTGCCAATGCAGCCAAGCAAAAGAGTGTCGGGCAACCCCCAGCACCGCACCGCTCATGGTCTGTATTGCTTTAGTTGTAGCACTCGGCCTGATTTTGACCCATACCAACCAGCACCGCACAAAGGGGTTTGTGGAGGAGCATGCACCAGGGACCGTTTCCAGGGGGAAATACGGACAAACCTGTCCAGCCCATCTCCATCCCCTCCCCGCAGTCCTCCAGCGGGTCCCAGGAGTCTTCACCCCTCCATCACACCCGCTTGCGTGAACAGCATAAACACTGCAGCACAGACCCCTCCTTATTTCCACACTGCGGAGTGAAAAAATATGAAATAATGATTATGCCTGAGGGTGACGGGTCATACAATGGTCGGTCCGTGCCACTTGGCTTCACGCCCCAGAGCCCCCATCCCCATTTTATTTACAGGCAGAGTCATAGCTGTAGTTTTTAGATGACAGGTGACTGGGAGGCAGTGTCCGTGATAAATATCCACGGCCGGGGTCCACAGAGCCGGGGTGGTGCCACCTTGGGCATTTTGGAAAACGTTCTGCGTTACAGGGTTCCACTGCTGATGTGTTGTTTGTTTTTTTCTCAAGCAACAGTACACTGCACAACCACCTGTATTTAGGGCTACAGAGCCTCAAGAGTCACAGGGTACAGCTCTCCCCTCCCCTGGTGCATTTCACTAGTGTTGCTTTGTTAAGATTTGCAGGTTTTCTCAATGACCAGCCTCGGTGTTGGCCATCGCTAGGCCGAGCCAGGGACAACAGCTAAATCCAGGGAGGCTGAAGCCAACATACCAGGAGGCTACTACTGTTTGGGAACGGCAGGATCCAAAATATTTTCCCCGGACATCTTGTTCAAACCTGATCAGCCACAAAGACACAGTAGTACCAGATGAAAGAGTTCAACTGTATTTGCAGGACTCTGCAGACAGAGGGTTTGGGTTTTTTCCTCCTAAGGAAAACGCTGTGAAGGCACACAACCTCTGCAGACCAGGGACAAAGAGAGAGACAGAGACAAAAAAATCCCTCTTCTCAAAGAGACACTGGCAAAACAACCTTTAAAGTGCAAGAAGTTTAAATATCATTTAGAAATCTTATGAAGTAAGTTAGAGAGGAATCAAAAGGTTTAACCTGCAGGGGTACCAAAAGAGATAATGAATTTTGCTTTTTTTTTTTTTAAAAAAAAAAGTATTTCAACAAAATGTGACGGCAGAAAATTATAAGCCTAAATTGTTAACATAGCTTCTTAGTAAGGTCAACCGCATAATATACAGTACCTTAACCTCTTCCAGCAATTTTTAAACACCACGCAGCTTAAATAGACTACTTCTGAATTCAGTGGTATTTCTTCTGGGAGCTCTGAATGCAAATCAAGAGGTAATAGTGGAAGAAAATTAAAAGATGTGCTATTCTCATTTCATTTTTTGTACTGATAATAAGGAAAGCAGCATAGAGAGTGATACGGCAAAGGGAACCTCTAACTTGAATAGCTTTTCTTTCACTGTTAATCTGAAATGCATTACACCCTGCCTTTTCAAATAATCATCATGTTCTTTACTGCAGCCTGCATTAAAGTTTAGCAGGCACAAGCAGCAGCTGTCACCAGAGGTCAAGGTATTAGCAATCAAAGAAAATAATGACCAGATTAAAAAGTTACCATTAAAATTACTTAAACCAGAAACTTTTACAACAGCTTATCTCCACCCGGAGCACAAACAGAGAGCGGCGCCGTGCCTCCAGGGCCGTACCTGTGCCCAGGGAACCACCGCCACCCTGGGACGTCTCCCAGCGGCAGCGCTGCGGGGCCGGACAGCCCTTGGCTGGGGTGACAGCACGGTCGGCCTCAGTGGCCAGAGGGGACCCTCAACTCGCCGCCTCTCTCAGGAATGGGTGGCACTGCCACCCAAACCAACTCCTGCGGGACTGGGAGCTCCCCGACACGGCTGGTGGCTAAAACCTGATCTCCAGCTTCTTGCCGTGGTGAACGGCTGTGGTCAGCACGCCACAGGAGCATCCGGGGTTCCTCCTCCACGCGCGTACCTGCACGCCATCCAGTAAGAGGTAGGGCTGGCTCTTACTTCACCTGCCCCATGCACCGCTTTAGCAATAAAATATAGCTCTCATACGGCACCTAGCTAAGGAATTAACTTGTAAATTCATAAAATAATGTAATCCAACCACGGTCTTGGCAGTTTATGACTCAAGCGATGTGGGGACTATTGTAAAAAGGGCAAAAAAAAGACCATG